CAGACCCTTGCACTGAAGTCCCCAAGCTGCTTGGTACAAAAATTCTGGATAGGAAAATGACCATTAAAATGGTTTTGCTAAGCTGGTTCCCCTAAATAGTCTTAAGGCATAGACTTATATGGCACGTGGAAACATTGTATTGGATCTGACTTAAGACAGACCAAACTCTCAGCCTCTCAGGCCACAGAATTTGGGAGAGCTAGTTACATAGAGTCAATCTCAGAAAATAAGGCTGTGGTCTGGTGTATTCATTTCATGGAGATAAAGCCTTTAGGGAGAGCGTTGTTGCTGTCCCTGCTATGTATGGCGGCATAAAAGCTAGGAATGGAGAAGTACTTGGGAAGGAAACATATCAGCAGGGTACCACGTGCTACCCTTACTTCCTTTTTCAGAAGTTTTGTCATATTAATCCTGCAATAAGCAATCATCGTTGACTAACTCTGGACTTTTTTCCTTAAACGTCAAGCACCTAATTTTTAAAAATTTCTTGGTTTTACTTCTCCTCCTGGGCTACTTTGCCTCCAGTACTTGGTTGCTTAGCAGTTGTTCCCTCCACAGCCTCTTCTGCTTTCTGTACTGTGGGATCCAGGCTCCAAGTCATGCACTACACCAAAGAATACCAAGACTCCAGCCAGGCAAAACTGTCAGAAATGTTAATATTTTTTTCAGTATTCTTTTTCCTGCATGCATTCCTTTAAGCTACCCTGAACTCCCCACCTCCACCCCACCCTTACACATACCTTACAACATTTAATTTTTTCAATAATTCACCCTTGTTTTCAGCCACCATTGAAATGTCCTTAGTGCTAAAGTAACAAATTTACTGATCTGATTAATTAATCTCTGCAAATGGGGGTTAAAATTAAAATTCAGTTGGAAGTGAATCTCAGCTGTGACCAGTAGAATTAACACCCCTCCTGGGCTGTCTTAAAACTTTTCTGAAACTAATTCTGGGGGAGAAATTTTGGAGTTGGGGGAAAGGGAGGTAGCTGCAGGGAGCATAGTAGAGGATTATTTTGGGAAGCACTTTATGACAGGGGTTGACAAATTTAGCAAAGAAAAATACAGGAGGACCAGTCAACTTCAAGTTTCAGATAAACAACCATTTGTTTATCTTATTTGACTTATATGGCACATGGAAACACCATATTGTTGTTTATCTGAAATTAAAATGTAACTGAGGGTTCTGTATTTTGTCTGCCAGCCTCTCTGTAATCCATGATATCTCCCAAAAATGTAATCTACGAATAAAGAGCCAGGATTGCTATGGAGTCTGGAACAGTTTCCAAACATCTGGCAGAAAAAGAATGAGCCTATCAGGGAAAGCATCAAGTGGTGAAATCACTACCCCCAAAACCAGGTGTGTTGATGCAAGGGGGCATCTGAGGCAGGACTGAAAGGATCACTCTTGGAGACTGGCCAAGGTGCCAGGGAAGTGGGTGTGTTTTGCTGGATCCTTCCCAGAAGATATAGTGTCTGGTTCCTGGGCTGAAAATTGAGCCATGTGATATCCATCCCACTAAAACATAATTTTTAGGTCTGAGGAAAGAGTGAAAATGTTTTTAAAATAAGGTAATAAATAGAGGGGAAATTATGTTCAAGAAGCTCAATCCTAAAAGGGAGTTCAGGCTCAGGAAATGCAATTTAGGCCTGCTAACATCAGATCAGAAAAATGCTGATACTAGCTATGCAAAAATGTTCAAGATCATATAATTTTCTTTCATTTTTTCCCCCAATAAACAAAAGTAATGCCATTAACTTCAAGAAGATTACTTTTGCCACCCATAACAATCTTTTTGTTTTCAATTAATGAAGAGAGGTTGTCTTGTTTTCTGTTACTGGCATCTATACTGGATACATTCTGTCTGTGCCTCCAGATCTACTCCTTTACCCTTCCCTGTCCTACCATGGGCTCTAGGAAGCTGACTATTAGGAACTCCCTTTCCCTCTGGTTTCTGGTTAGGACCAGCTGTTGGAGACATGAACAAGGGATTGAAGGACCAGAGGACAGAAAGGTCAAAATAACAGAATATTGTTGAGGGTATTTATTTAAAATGTTCATAATTTCAACGACCTGATAGAAAGCACTCAGTAAAACAGGAACAGATGAATACTTCTTTAACATGATAAAACACACTTAGCCAGAGTTCTACTTGATGGAGAAATGCTACAGACTGAAGTTGGAAATAAGACAAGAGTGCTCACTGTCACTATTATTAGTAAAATTTTACTGAATGTCCTAGAAATCATAACAAGACAAGATAAAAACTTCAATGGAACTGGGGGTGGAGCTCAGTGGTAGAGCCACACTTAGCATGCACAAATCCATGGGTTCAATGTGAAGGAGAAGAAGAAGGAAGAGTAGGAGGAGGGACAAGGAGGAAGAGGAGGAAGAGAAGAAAAAGACTTCAAGTATAAAGTGGGAAAGGGAGAAAAATACTTCTGTTACTTACAGATGATATGACTATGTTTTTTCAACCCAAGACTCAACTGGAAAATTAACATAATAAGACAATTCAGTAAAGTAAAAAGATACAAAATTAATATAGAGAAACTGATAAATCTCATATATACAAACAATAACCTCCTGGAAGATAAAAAGATGAAGGACTTTATCTAATGTAGCAAGAAAAAAAAAGGAAAATACTTAGAAATAAATTGAACAAAATATGTATCAGCACTATATGTAGAAAACTTTAAAACTGGGGCTGGAGTTGTGGCTCAGTGGTAGAATGCTGGCCTAGCATACATGAGGCACTGGGTTCAATCCTCAGCACCACATAAATGTAAAATAAAGATATTGTGTCCACCTAAACTTAAGAGGTAGGACATTTATTAAAAAAAAAAAAGAAAGAAAGAAAAGAAAACTTTAAAACAAACACCCCAGAATTCAAATAATTTTTGAATGAGCAGAAAGACATATCTAGGTCTCAAATTTTCAAATTATTAAAAATCACATCTTTAAGTTGATTTAATATTTTTACTCAATCCCAATTTTTTTAATATTTATTTTTTTGTTGTAGTCGGACACAATACCTTTGTTTTATTTATTTTTATGTGGTGCTGAGGATCGAACCCAGGGCCCCGCATGTGCTAGGTGAGTGCTCTACCGCTGAGCCACAATCCCAGCCCTCGATCCCAATTTTTTTAAAAAATCAATTTATTTTCCTTTTAAACTTGATAATTCTCAAATATATATTGAGGTCAGAGGAAGAATACCCAGGAAATGTCTGAAAAGGAGAGAAATATATATGTCTGTGTGGGAGAAAGTGGAATTCTTAGTCCTATTAGATATTAAAACACAATAAAAAGTCTCAAGAGGGGCATGCCTATAATTCCAGCAACTCCAGAGGCTTAGGTAGGAAGATCACAAATTTGAGGCTAGACTCAGCAATTTAGTGAGGCCCTCAGCAACTTTGCAAGACTCTGTCTCAAAATAAAATATAAAAATGGCTGAGATGTGACTTAATGGTAAAGCATCCCTGGGTTCCATCCCCAGTACAAAAAAAAAAAAGCCTCAGTAATTAAAACAATGTAGAACTGGCCCATAAATGTCCACAGAGATTAACAAAACAGATGAAATTGTAGACCCAGATGCATACAGGATTTGAAAAGAGTGACATTGTAAATTACCAGGTATAACAGAGGGCTATTCAAGACATGGTACAGGTGTAACTGGGTAGCCATCTGGAATAAAACTGGATGTATGCTTTATACTGTATACTAAATTACGAAGACATCATACCTTTAAATACAAAAACTAAGTAACTAAAATTAGTAGAAGAAAACTATGAGAAAATTTCTTAATAACCTGGAACGTTCTTATAATTGTGACTCAAAGTCAAAAATTTTTCATGTGGGGGAAAAAAGGAGAAAGAGAGAAAAAGAAAAAAGAAACTTCACCATAATAAAAATCAGAAGATAAATGACAAACTGGGAAAAGTACTTCCAACTCATATCACATATATTAATATCTTTTATATACAAAGCACTACCAGAAATATGTAAGATTTAAAAACCCCAAAACCAAAAAGAAAAATAGACAATGAATATGAAGGTGGTCATTTATATTTTCCAAAATTTAAAAGTTTGATAGTTTATCTTATAAATTTATAAATGGGTAAAACTTTAACAAGGACAATTTGGCAAGATCTGTCAATCTGATAAGTGTACCTATCTTTGACCCACAACCCCTTTTTAAATTAATATATCAAATGAATGTACTTGACACATACAATGCCCTGGTAAACAGCTGGATTAAATAATTCCACAATGTATACATGTATTGTGATATCACATTATACCCATAAATATATGTGATTATTATCCGTTAAAAATAAAATTAAAAATTAAAAACTGACCTAGGTACAAGGTTATTCATTGCAGCATTACTTGCAATAGCAAGAGTGGAAACAACCCAATGTTTATTCATATGAAATGAGTTAAATAAATAGTGATTCATTCATGCAGTAGAATATTATGTGGCCTTAAAAAAATTTGCATAGGAAGAGAATGAGAATGTACTATGTACCGTATTGATATAGAAAAATCTCCAAGATATTTTTAATGAAAAATACAAGGTGTAGAAAAATATATATTATGTGGTACCTTTTATACGTAAAAGGAAAAAATAGAATATATATTAGTATTTTCTATATGTATTTGTCTGAAATTACTTTAAGAATTCAGTAATAGTGAATTGGGAGAAGAAAACAGAGGAGACCTATGAATGGAAAATAGTGTAGAGAGAGACTTTTTAATTCATTAATTATTATTGTAATTATATATATTTATGGGTACAGTTTGATAATTTGATACATATATACAATTTGTAATGGTAAAATCCAGATAGCATCTCCACTTTCTTAATTTTTTTTACCTTTTATATTTTCAAAATGTTTGAATAATGAATATGTATTTTAGCTTTTTCACCACTGTGAACAAAAATAAAAATCTGACAAGAACAATTTTATAGAAGGAAAAACTTATTTGACGCTCACAGTTTCAGTGGTCTCAATCCATAAACAGCGTACTCCGTTAGCTCAGGGACCACAGTGAGGCAGAACATCATGGCAGACAGTATGGCAAAGGAAAGCAGCTCAGGACCTGGTACCAAGAAGGAGAGAGAAAGCGGGGCGGGGGTGGAGATGGCACTTCACTCACCAGGGACAAAGTATAAACCCCAAAGGCAGCCTCAATGACCTACCTCCTCCAGATACATTCTTTCTTGCCTACAGTTATTTTCAGATAATCAGTGGATTAAGCCATTGATTAGGTTATACCTCTCATAACCTAATCATTTCACCTCTGAAGTTTCTTGCATTGTCTCACACATGAGCTTTTGAGGGACACCACATATCCAAACCATAACAGTAAGTATTATTATTAAAATATTAAATGTATAAAAAGTCATATTAAATAATCAAGTAATACACTAATATATAAGGTAGGAAGTAATGTCCCATAACGCTAAATCTACCACTCAAGAAAATCAATGCCAATAGTCTGCTATATACCTTAAGGGATTTAATCATTGAAAAGCAGATAAGAACTTTAACATTAAAATTATTAGGCAGAGAATGTACTGTTTTCTGGTTCCCTAAAATCATGTTCTGGCATTGACAAATACACTTAAAGACAAGAAGCTGAGATAAATGATCTTCCTCAGGCTTAGAGTGAGTCACTAAGCTTATATAACATATCCTGTCTACATTGTCTATATGTCTATATTGAATGGGTTTAATTTTATGTAAAGTTGGAATAGGAAAATAATTCTGAATTATGTAGCAGTTTGAAAGTGAATTGTAGAGGTCATTATCTCTAATGGGTTAAGTATTTTGTAGATTTGAAATTAAGACATTAGCATTCCAACAAATGAAAATGTTTATGCTGTCTGCTAATTATTGGCAGTAGTACTACAGAATTCAGCCAGCAAGGCTCCTTAGTTACAAACATAAAGAATTATTCCTTGTTTTCCACTGCCATTATTAAAAATATTTTTTAAATGGAGCCTTATATTCCATGAGTTACATTACAGAGATCTTCCTCTGGTCAAGTTCCTGCAAGTTGGAAAATTCCTCAGTAGGTAGAAAATGAGTGTTAAAAATATTTATCAACAAAAAGATATACAAGAAGAAATATTCAGCCTCCCCATTTCAATATAAATACCAAAGTCTCTTGCTAAACCAGTACTTGATATTTTCATACATGTGTCTTAATGAAGCACAACAAAACAATCACCCATCATCTCATAGCAGAGTGTTGATGTTGAAAGAAACCTTAGAAATCAGCACATTTACTCAAGCAATCATTCTGTCAACTAATTAAACTTTATTGTTTATGGAGTGTCTCTGTATAGATAAAGTTAAAAGTAATAGGACTGAGAAGATGAATACAGTCTCTAGCTCTTAAGGAGCTGAAGTCTAAGCCAACTCCTTTATTTTTATCTTGAAGAATCTCTCAGTGTCTCAAGTTCAGACCAGTATTTCTTTTCATTATGTCAAATATGCATTTATAAAAAGAACTAAATATTTTGTATTCGTAGATTGCCCATTATTATATCAGCATTATTCACAGTTTTTATTTTCAGATAATTGATTCAAAGGCTCTAATTACTCCTCATCTTCATAATTAACTTTAAATACATTATACCAGTTAGCCTCACAATGACCCTTGGACTAGGAAGAGTGAGGGTAAACAACTTTCCTAGGTTGTGTGATGTACTTGGAGCTAGTATGTAACTGTACCCAGATCTTCCCATCTCTAAGGCTTACAACCCCCATACACTAATACACAGCAGGACTTGTCAAAATGTAGGCTAGAGAAACTATAATTTGTATTAATACGGTAGGAGTATGTGATGGTCATTTGATTAAAAAAAAACTAAATTACTTCACAGAAAATTTCTTGGAGATAATCAAACTAAGTGTAAACAATGTATTTCTGCAAACACAACCTGTTTTTCTGAGGATCATGAAGACCAAGACGACAATGGTAACTAAGTTTTCTTTCTTGCTTTAATAGGATCAATGTATAGGTGAAGTTACTGTTTTTTCTCACTGTATTACTTTGGTTTTTCGACTTCAAATCTTCTTATAAGCTTACCTTTTGTTTGAACTGCTTTGCTGTATGTCTTTTGACTATCCGTTTCAAGTCTTTTATCTTTAAAGATATTGCAGTATTTTTACATTAATTATTTTTTTAAAAAGTTACCTTGCCTTTCTACTTTCAGACATATTATTGTAGCTGTCCTCATGACACACTCTCTTCTATTTAAGCCTCTGGGAAGCAAGGTATTCACTCTTCAGTGAATGAAGAATGCATAACTCTCTTAGAGAAGGGTACAACTTTTTAAATTATGAAGGTGATCTGTAGTAAAATAATAATAATAATAATAATAATAATAATAATAATAATAATAATAATAATTTGAGTAAGGTCCCATGATTCAATCTAGTACTGATTGGCAGTTAACTATGAAAACCTTGGACCATGGAATCAGGCCATAAAATTTGAATCATGTTCCTTAAGAGTAATATTCTTTAAATTCACCCATGAACTACTAGCAATAATATATAGGTCACATGTTTCTTGGGGCCCTTATAATTTCTCCTTTATGCATTTACAGATTCAGTCAATGGTAGAGGGTTAATGGTAAGCAGCAAGGTGGAAAAAAGAAAGCATTTTCCTCAAGCTTTCCTAATATCATTTTCTCTGGTCTCTGGTAGATCTCCCCTTGCTATGCTTAGAACCACTTACAACCACAAAAAATACAAAGATGCCATTTGCAGAAAAGGTAAAAAAAATAAACATATGAATATCTTAAATTGAATTTAAATGTAAAAATTATAGCATAGTTTATATAGCTTTATTATATCCCAGTAGCATAAAATTATGCTTCACCCTTCAAATTATGTCATATACTTAAGTGAGGTCAGTGGCAAAAATTATAGTGTAGATCATGATTCCTACAATGTTTAATTATTCACAAACCATTGGGAGGTATTTTGTGGCCTAGTTTTGTCCAGTGAAAAGAGCAAAGGTTTCTGCAATGAGCTAAAGCCAGGATTTCACATGAGTTCTGCCATGGAACCTTAGCTAAGTTACTGAATCATGGTGCTATGTAACTTTGGCCAAGTTCCTGAGTCAGTGAACTAGACTTTATCACCTATAAAATGGTTATTGTAAAGATTGGTAATGACATATATAAAGTATCTGGAAGTAGAGCTTTGTATATAGTCAGTGCTCAATAAACTCATTTCACAAGAGACACTTCACATAGTACACATAATTTTTTAAAAAATTGAATTGATAATAAGATCAAGTGTTGGTATTATCTGACCTTCCAATTGGAATGAGCAATTGAAAAGACATATTTACTGCTGCTGCCAATGCAGTACTTAACTCCAGGAGGCTATAGGATTTAAGCTTTAGCAAGAAATATTTCTATAATGTTCCTTTATGAAAAAGTCTTTAGTGAAATAAAACAAAAACCAAAACCAAATTTCTTCCACCTTATGAATCAGTATTGTCACAAAACACCTACTGCAATGAACTCATCAGGGTATTTATAGATGATTTTGGACAATTTAATTAAAAATGTTTATAGTAACAACTAGGATTTCAAAGGAAGAACAATTGAGGAAGAATAAGAAACAGGTAATGGCTGTTGCTTCTCAGTGCAGTCCGGGAAACATGAATGGGTCCATCAGTGCATGGTAGCAGAGGAAATTCTTTTTATTTTTTTCTTGCTAAGGATTGAACCTAAGACTCGGAACATGCTAGCACATGCTATACCACTGAATTACACTCCCCAGCTGCAGAGGAAATTCTGAGGTACCAGTTGAAAATAAAAACTTAGTATTTTATAGTTTCTGTTTTTAAGAACTCAAATTTTCATGAAGCTGCATATTTTATATTTTCTGAATATTTTATGTCATCTTACCATTAGCTAATGATATTTTCTTACCATAATTCCTCTTTGATTATCTAATAGCAAAGTTGTTAACAGTCAAGCTTATTGTAGAGATACAACTTCTCCTCTCAGACAATGTATAGAAAATATTACATTATACATTAAAATCATGGTGCCATAAAAAGATAACCAACATCCTTAGACATTAGGAAAATGCAAATTAAAGCCACAATTCTGTATGTATATGTGTATATGCATGTATATATGTAATTAGAATCTGTATAATATTGGAGATATATGTGTGTGTATGTATATGTATATATAATTGAAACAACGATGCCAGCTTGTTTTAGAAATGTTGGGGAGGATCTTGAACTCCAATAGACTGTTGATGGGAATGTTAAATGGTATAACCAACTTAGGAAAAAGGTCTCGCACATTCTCATAAAGTCAAACATATGCTTATCATATGACCTAGCCATTTACTTCAAAGAGAAAAGAAATGTTTGTTCATATGTACATGGGTGGTGCATGCCTGTAATCCCAGTTACTCAAGAGGCTGATGCAGGAAGATCACAAGTTTGAGACCAGCCATAAGACCCTGACTCAAAATAAAAAATAAAAAAATAAAAAGGAGTGGGGATACAGCAGCCCTGGGTTAAATCCCCAGTACCCCCCGCCAACACAGAGAGAGAAAGAAGAGAGAGAGAGTGCGCGCAAAAGAGACCTGTACATGAATGTTGAAAGCATTACTTGTAATAGCTAGAAAATGGCAACATTTAAATGTCCATCAACAAGTGCACGAATAAACACGTTCTGATACATTCACACAACGTAATACTATTTAATGAAGAGGAATGAAATATAAATATATATATATATATATATATATATATATATATATATATATATATATATAATGTAGATAAATCTCTATTATGCTGAATGAAAGAAGCCCGATAAGAGTCTTTATTATATGATTCCATTCATGATTAGAATATCAAACAATTCGTAGTTACGAAGTAGATCAGTAGTTGTCTGATGATAGGAAGCAAGGTTCTTCTTCCTAGAAGCAGAATTAAAATTGAGGCAAAAGCAAACTTCCGGCACGATGAATTTATGCATTATCTTGATTTTGGTGATGGCTTCATGAATGTGTGTTTGTGAATTTATGAAACTCTATACTTTAAAT